CTTTAATTCAAAGTACTATGTCACTCACACACACATACACACATGCAACACAAATATTTCTCTACAAGTTATCTCCATGCATATACACTAGATCTATCATGTACATACTTTCTATTCCTCCTGCAGTGTTAATACCATAAGCAGGATTAGCAGAGACACCAGATCCTAATAACAATATGATAGATGTATATATTAAGTCTATCTTACTTTCAGTAATACCATAAGCAGGATTAGCAGATACATCAGTATTACAGTCTATGTCATGATGTTAATATTTTAGGAGTAGTATGTTTAATCTTACTTTCTTGTTCCCCAATTACTCCATAAGCAGGATTAGTTGATGCTAATAATATGTTCTGTCCTTTATCCATTGTTATTACTATATAAATTGAATTGATTTTCAAAAATTGTTTTAATGCACATTAAGCCTTACTATCTGATTGTTGATTTATATCAGCTTTTCTTTCATCAGAACTGAAAGTATCATTTCCATTTGTTGTTTTATACAATCTTCTCCTACACACTAATGCATTCACTATTAATATTACTATAATAGTAACTACCAGTAGTACAATGACTGCACTGATCATTGCTATTAGTATTGTAGATGCACCATTTCCTGCATTGTCTTGTCCTGGTGATGAAATTATTGTAGTGCTTAGTGAGGAAGTGATACTAATAGATGCAGTAGTAATGGAATCAGTAGTAATGGAATCAGTAGGAACAGCAGCAGTAGTAATAGTAGGAACAGCAGTTACTGTAGTAGTAGAATATATTGTCATACTACTACTAGATGGAGACCCCATAACTGTAATGTAATTAGAAGATGTACCAGTGGTAGTTACTGATGTGGGTTCTAATTGGAGAATTTATTTAATAATTATGCCAAATAAAAGTTATTCTTACCTACTGCAACTGAGATGAGTGGATAGTCGTTGGTATCTAATGCAATTAACTCATTGTTGTCCCCCAGTCTGTAATTGTGTGGTCCATTGAATTGTTGATAGAACATTACATTTGTAGCATTACTCTCAATCATCAGTATATCACCAGGTTGTACTGTTATCTCATTGCTCATAGTAAAATTATATAAATTCTGAGATATGCTAACAGCATTACTGATGTTCACTGGTAGTGCTGTAGTAGTGAGATTATTTGATCGTCTTATTTTAATTACTGGTATATAATGTATAATAAAAGAACTTAATATCCAGTTAGTGATAATACCATGACATGTGAACCTTATATCAGGAAATATTCTAGTATCAGAAATAAATATTGAATTAGTAATGGAATGGGATAATATCATGCTCTCTGGCAGCAAAAGTTGAGTGTAGCAACCTATATTAAAACATGAATATTAAATAATATCATTGTTAATATTACTTGTATTCTGTACTGTTGGGTGTATTAGTATTTTCCATGATTGATAGTCAACATCTCTGCCCATTCCTGATATTCTAATGTTAGTATCATTAATTCTATCTGATTTTACTTTCCCTATTCCATCAATACCACCAGGAAGGTTCATATAATGGAATCTAACAACACTTCTGTCATCAGGAGGTTGATATACACCAATCCTGTATCCACTGGAGACATTTACTGGAGTAGGGAGAGTGAAACAATACTGTCCATTAGTTTAAAGTTATTAGGAG